CCATGTGAGCAAGCTGTCAGTCCACTGTGCCCTCCACCTGCTGACTGGTTGGAAGCTGGATATCAGTCTTTCATCATCCTCCCCAAAGACAGAGCTAGAAATTTCAGACCATTTTCCAATACTTTCTGACGTACCTTTTCCAAAACACTTCAGATCAAATAAGCGTGATTTTCTATTCAGTCATCCAGGGACCCCAACTATGGTTCCAAGTAGAAATTTACTTGGGTTCCCACCCCTCACCCCCCAAAAAACACATGCTCCAAACCCAGTATATCAAAAATCCTTACATTTCTGGGGGTCCTCAAGATTTGCATTGCTTGTGTAGCATTTCACATGATGCTGTGGTTTTATATATGGGAAGACATACTGGCTGTTGAGGGCAATTTGAAAATGTTGTTTTATCACCTCAGTCCCAGAGGCTCTGGTGGGGTTAAAATTATTTCTCTCAATTTAACTGATACCAAAACACAAAGGACTAGCCCTTGGTGGAAGAGGACTTGGGCACATGCAGAATAGGAAAAAAGTAATCCCCCCAATTAAAAAAAAATGAATCCTAGTGTAGCAAGGAAATATACTGCTGAAGGTGAAATAGAAATAGTTATGACTCTATTAATGAAATATATTTAATACAAAATTATGACCTTTATAATAAACTAGTAATAGCAAACAAAACAAAAACACAAAGCCAGCCCAAATCCTTGCTCTTTTTCTCTCCTTTTACATAATATTTGGGCCAACACTTTCTTCTGTTGTGGAAATGGCATTTTCCCTGGAGCCAAAAATGAAGTCCTTGCTCTGGAGGTCCGAGACCTTCTGGGGCCGTTTCTTTGTGTTTCCTGGGCCTGTTTCATGAATTCGCTTTGAGAATGAAGTAATTAAAATCAAGAACCCCTTCAGCTTGAATGAAACTGGTGGCCAGAATCCTGGGCCAGGTGGAAGATGGCAGAAGGGAGACTGAGGCGGGGGGTCTTCACTTGCTCACAGGCAAGGCGCTTGTGGCAGGAGCACAGGGCGGGTCCTAAGGTTTCCATGGCTCTGAAATTGATTTCTAAGTTCTAGCATCTTCTCTGTGGGGAGCCCCAGGGGCTTGGGGAACAGCTAGTTTAACCCACAGGACTTGGTGAAAAAGTGAAAGGAGGCATTGTGCCGAGATAGGACTCCCGTAGTCTCTTGTTTTATCTGCTCAGAGACCCCTTAGGGCTGGCATTTCAGGGCCTGCTCTTCAGAGAGCGTTTATCCTGTTCCTGGAAGGAAAGGAAGGACTTGATTAATTCAGTGAAAAGGATGTCAGCTCAGAGGGCAGAAGCCAGTCATCTAAGCTTGTTAAGACAGTGACCACAGCCAGGGCTTCACCAGGAACCAGGCCTGGCTCAGAGGGAAACTGAGCTGATCCTGGGAAAGAAACTCCACCCTGTGTGGCAGGAGAGAGTCAGATCCGACAGCGTGAAGGTGTGGCTGTGAAGGTGTGGGTGAACGCACTGAAAGGCTCAAAAGGAAAGGGGGTGTGTGCCTTGTGTGTG